CCGGAAAAACTACAAGTCTTATGGAAAAAAGTTAAATGGCAGAGTTGTAGGTAATAAAAAGATCTACAACTTTTGTATTTACACTTTTTTCACATAACCTCAAAATTTATGTGAAAAATTCAAAAACTTGGTTATTTGAATTTTTCACATAAATTTTGAGGTTATGTGAAAAAAGTGTAAATACAAAAGTTGTAGATCTTTTTATTACCTACAACATTGCCATTTAACTTTTTTCCATAAGACTTGTAGTTTTTCTGGAAATCAAGGGATACCGTTTTTTACCCTTAAAAACTCACCCCCTACCTCTTCCCGACCTCAGATCGCCCGTAAATTATTTTTCCTTTCATTTCTGTTATATTCTCTTTCTTTTCCAATAGGTTTCATCCTACTATAATTTTTTTTGGTTTCAAAAATTATCGACCCTGGTCTATATAACATATTTATACTTCGATCCTCTTATTTTTGGCTCTACATTCACTGGTACAATTTTTGCTACTTCGTTTAAAAACACCCTGTATAAAAACATATAATAAAAAAGTTTTTGGAGTCGAAAAAATTAAAATATTTAAGCAAATCGACTAAATGAGAATATAAAAAAAATAATACTTAACGGGATTTTAATTGCCGGTGTTGCGAGAAACAGCTACTCCGAGGGTTATATGCCCCTACTGGCATTGAATTATACTCGCAACACCTAGTGCAACAGCTAGAATCGTTCGTCAGTTTAACCCACCAGGCACAGACTGGTTTCAGACTAAATTAGTCCTCATCAGTGTGTCATTGGTGAGGCAACCGACGAACAATCCAGCTGTTTTGCGTCGTATCATCACGATAAGGAAATACATTGTACGCGGAAGTGCAAATGGCTCCATCTGTCGTGCCGACTACCAACCGTGCCATTCAATTGGCTACAGTAGGAAACGACCTGCTATATTGCAGGTACTTGTTGCACGACTGCCACGCACAGAGGGCGAAGACAATGTTTTAATTGCTGGTGTTGCGAGAAACAACTACTCCGAGGGCTATATGTCCCTACACCGGCATTAGTTGTTTCTCGCAACACCGGCAATTAAATTTCACTTTACGAAGAATTAATCTCGGAATGAGACGTATTCAGCTGACCAATTCCGTTTTCAGGCCGTCTACACCTTGCCGAGGGGCTGCCTGGTGAGCATAGCCATACTGTTGTTACCTCAGATCTACTGGTTCTTCTTGATGTTGAGCGGGGCGACGAAGGTGCTGAAGAAGTCCGTCTCCAACAACAACAACCTGAGCAACCCGAACGCTAAGTAGACGTCGACGCGGTGTCGGACGCGTTACGCTCTAGGGTCGTTTAGTTTAATTTCCGTGTTTCGTTCAAGTAAGGGTATCTATTAATGAAAGTCTGAGAATCTTAGGTTTAAATAATTGTTGGTGTATATTTTCGGTGACCCGTCATGATAATCGAGCTTAAAAAACATGTAAAGACTAGCTTCCTAGGTAATTTTATTTATTACATTTGAAAAATATATGTAAGCCGACAAGCTTTAGATGTTGAGAATACTGAGAGATATATTTATGATACTTGCCGGCGTGGGAGGGGGACGAGCCGCTCTCCCCATTTATATGACGCAATATTATTTTTTTTACACGGTTTTTACAAGGTCTTGCATTTCTCCCACGGGGCGCGGCCCGTTCCGCTCCCACCCGGCGACGTTTGTAACCTTTCCAAAACTGTGTTGTGATCTTAGATGTTTCAGCACCAGGGCGTGCCGAGCGCATCAGTATTACGTTTAGGTTATATTTTTAATTTATTTGTGATGGACTCTGTCTCGAATGTATTACCTGAAAATAAATGTTAAATAGCATTTTGTGTCAGTAAAGGGGCAAGAAATGAGTTACCACCTTGTCCGGTATTGGGCCGCTTACTCCTCGTCCTGCTGTTCGGAGATCTCGGTCGCAGCGACTGGTTCGTTTGCGAAAATCGTCGATAGCTTCGCTATGGACCCGACAGCCTTGAATCTGGTTTGGGCCCTCGTCTTGTTCACCTTTTTCTTCCACTGGGAATAAAATCGCAAAATTGAGCCATCGTTCGACTTTAGAAATTATTAAATTTCACTACTCTTATCGTTGGTTCGAACTTAAGGCACCTACACTAGCAGGGAATGGAGTATATCTTTATTTTGACCCCATTTAAGTCTTAAAAAAAATTATATACAAATAGTCCAATCAAATTGCATTTTTGTGTGCCAAAATTTAGTTCAGTAAACAAAGACATGTAAAAATTAGGACAAATTCCGTAGAATTGAATGAACTACTTTACCCCAACTTAATCTTAGGGTTTTATTTTCAAAATGGCATCCAAAGTTTGCAAAAAACTTAAAATTGTCAATGAAAGATCTTTCTCATTATGTCGCCATTTATTTATTTATTTATTATCGACTGGAAAAAATTATAAAAGCAATTTTGGGCCAATAAAATTGACGAAAATACCGTGTTTTTTTGCCAAAACAGTAAAAAATTAGGAAGAACTCCGTAGAATTGAATGAAAGTTCACAAAAAACAGTTTTTGTCATTAAAAAAAAATAACATTTTAGAAAAAAAATGTTTTATACAAAAGTTGTAGAACTTTTTATAACAAAAATTTTGAACACAGCCCGATGTCAATTGATACAGAAATGTATTAGTTTTTGCAAAAAAATGGCTAAAAATCGTATTTTGTTAAAATTTATATATTTTTAAAACGAAAAAATATTTTTTTACAAAACTTTCAGAATATGTAGTTCTTGGCAAGTAGAATAAGTGCATTTTTGTAAAATTGCAAAATATTAGCAAATTTTTTAAAAAATTAAGTTTTTCGAAAAAAATACATTTTACAGTAACGAACTTACGTGACCCATATTGGGCTTAAAATTTTCACTTAGAGTTGTACTTTCCTATGCAAATTGTGCACGTATTGCAAAATATGCGGAAATATGCAAAAAATGTACTGAAACTTTGACGGGTCGAAAAATGTAGATATTTCTCTTATCGTTGAAAGAGTGACCGCAAAATCTCCCTGTTTTTGAGACTTTGACAGAGGCGACAGGAAAAATCCTAAAAATATTCTAAAAATATCCAAAAACTCGTCATGAAAAATGAAAATGAGCATCACTTTCAGTTTTTCAAAAATTACCCTTAATTAGGGGTTCAAAAGACAAAATGAACAAATTAAGAATCGTCAACAGTTGTAAAACCCCAAATATTTCTATGTTGTTATATTTTTTATTTTTTTTCACATTATTTACAATTTTTGTATATTTGGGGGATGATTTTACTGCTTGAGAGGGATGATTATTCTTGAAAATGATTGATAATGTATGGGACTCCTTGTGTATAAATTATTCTAATGAATGTATTTCGAAACATTATCTTTTTTCATGCATTATAATTATTTTATGTACTTTGAAACCGATGGTTGAACTTAGGGGTGGTTTTACCCTCATTTAGGAGTATTTTCCTTCGGATCTAGTGATTGTGGATTATTAACGGTTCAATTATCACGAATAAAAGAAAAAGAAAGAAAATTGTAACTTTTAATATACGTTTTGCATTTTTAGGCATTTAGAGGATGATTTCACCCCTTTAGGGATATTATGGGTTGATTTTCAATTCCGACAAAACCGTATCAAATACGAAATTAGATATTTTCACGTTCATAATATTATTTTGATAACAACAGAAATATTTGGGGTTTTACAAATGTTGATCCTTAATTTGTTCACCTTTTTTGTCTTTTCAACCCCTAAATAAGGGTGATTTTCGAAAAATTTCAAAAAACTGAAAGTGATGCTCATTTTCATTTTACATCACGAGTATTTGCATATTTTTAGAATATTTTTAGGATTTTCCCTGTCGCCTCTGTCAAAGTCTCAAAAACAAGTGGAAAAATGGCTCTTTAATCGGAATGGCATTATTACCACTTGAAACCTGACATTTTTTTATTAATCAAAATTTTTGTTATAATAACCAACTTTTGTGTAAAACATATTTTTTCTAAAATGTTTTTTTTTTTTAATGAAAAAAACTGTTTTTTGCGAACTTCCAATTCTACGGAATTCTTCCCAATTTTTAACTATTTTGCAAAAAAGCGAGGTATTTTCGACAATTTTATTGGCCCAAAACTGCTTCAATAATTTTTTCAAGTCGATTAAAGAATATTGCAAAAGAAAACCATAAAAATATTCAAATATAAAGCGACAAAACTGAAAACTTCCCTATTAGAGTGATTTTAAATTAATAGATAGGTATCGCATTTTTTGTTCTAGCGAATAAATTGATAACGTCATTTATCCATACACAAGAGAACTATTCTTGTGTATGGATATATCTACTTCACCAAAATATCTTTCATCGACAATTTTCTGTTTTAAAATCCATTAAATAAGTGTCCAGTTGCCAAAATTTTCAAAAAAATAGTTCTAATGCGTGTTTGAAGTGCTTAAGTTTTTATAAATACGTTTTATCAGCGAAAAATCGTCTAATTTGCAACAAATTATGACAACGACAGACATTCGTGAATTTAGAACGCAACGCGAAGGCTATTGATTTGATTGGTCGCGAGGAAACCATTCTTTTGTTTTCTACATCATCTGAACGTACCTTAAGTAGTTCATATCAACGGTAGGTCAAACGAATTATTCCGACTGTCTAACTCTACGGTTCCTTAAAGGTTATGTTATCTTCACCCTTCATTCATTCATTCATTTTTCATTCACGATTTGTTTGCAAATAGTGAAGTGTGAAGTTGTGATTTTTTTTCAAACTTTGAAAATGTTTAGCGAACCGAGGACATGAATGAAACGTAAGTAGAAAATATAACCTCTTTTATAATAATCCTCGCGATTAGTGTTAATTTTTTGCTAAAATCGCGAAAATGTACCTGTTCCTCAAAGTAGGTGCGGTTTTCAAATTATACCTCCACTAAATGCAGACGATTGAATAAAACCGAACTATATATACGCGTTTTAGGAGAACAAAACGAATAAATGTATTATTTATTTCAAATGGATAAAAAAAGGTTGTTTGTCGTTTTATTTAATCAAATAAGTTAGGTTATGTTTTTGTGAATATGCCTTAAAGTTGGGAAAATTACTGAAGCGCGAAGCGATTTTTTACGCTGGAATATTACCTCTTCGTCCCTAGAAGGCATCTCGGACAGATACTGATTCATGTCGTTCTTGTTGGTATCCAGGATAGCCAAAACCGATACGCACCCGTCTATAGTTCCCAGAACGAGGGCTTTACCGTCAGGGGTGCTCTCCACAGCGGTCAATTCCGCTTGAACCCTGTAATTCGCTATCATCTCCGCGTCCGAGGTCCTAAAATCAAGTTTTATTTATCGCTGACTTTTTGCTTGAACGTAACGTACCTGAACACCCGCAACGTCTTCTTACCGCTGTGGTAGTAAAGCACGTACTCGTCTGTCTTATTAAAAAGACAGATGATCGTGAAGACTCCCTCCGCCACTTTAGGGATGAAGGTCCTGACCGTCTGGCCTTTTTTCAACTCGATGAGCTCCAATCCCCCTCTAAAATCAATTTAATCTGAAACGACTCGATAAAATTTCCATTTCCTTACCTAGACGGGGCGTACAGACCGTATTTCCCATCTTTCGTGATGCACCCGCCCCACTTGGGAACGGTACGTAAGTGTTTTTTGTTTCTTATGTCGAAAACGGCGCCTTTATCAGTGGTCAGCACAGCGATTAAGTGGCCTTTGTGCGGCATATCCACCAACCCCCCGACGTCCTAAAAACTGTCTTTTATTACACGTTTCGGCATTAGGACGGTCGTACCTTAATCCCGCAACCTTTCAGAGGTATCCGATGCACTAGATTGCCGTTCTGGGCGTTGTGCACGATAATGCAGTCCCTGTTGGTCTTATCGGCAGCTATTATAGCCAAATACTGGTTGTCGGAGGTGACGATCGCCTGCTTGAAAGGCACCCCAGTGGTGCTACGGACGGGGTACTCGAAGGTGTACACCATTTCCCCACCTCAAACAACAAAAATTACATTTCCGGCAAGCGATAGGATGTTATACGTACTGGGTATCTCCCTGACGCATACGGTCGCCGTCGTCCTGACAAAATCCGTCCCCGGCGGGTTGCTCGGCTTGGAAATCGACAGGATCCTCGTCCCGTCCTCGATGAGGGTGAGCTGTCTTATGCCGGGCTGTTCGTCTTTAAATATCACCTGTTGCGTCAGTCTGAGCCAGATGAGTATGTTGCCCGTCTCGGCGGATATAATATACCTGAAATTATGCAAGAAATAGGATTCGAAGGAAAAAACAAGGCGGAAGCGAGTTACTTTCCGTCCGGGGTTATGATGGCGTGGGTGACGATGGCTCCTAGGGGGCTGTCCGCTAGTTTCGCTACGAGCTTGCCGATTCGGAGGTCCCACACCCCCACGCAGTTTCGAGTGGCCGTGACGGCTAAGCTCAGGTTGTCCGATAAACTGGGTAAAATTGAAAATAAACAAAAAAAATACATTGTTGAATAATACTCCTAGTAATATGTAAAAAAAGTATGCTTGCTCTTTTTCAAAATTAGAAAATGATAGTATAATGCAGTGAAATATAACTAAGGTGATTCATAATTTATATATAAAAAAAATTATGGGATATACAAATACGTAAAACGTATAAAACAAAATATTGGTCAAAAAGGACACCGTCTGTGTCTCCTGAAGGCGTTTCGCTTACAACTGGGACGCTGCTAATGCATTTTGCATTCGTTCACCGTAAATCAAAAGGATATCCTTTAATTTTGTATTTGAACATGTAAGAATCATGTAAACAATAAACCACGGTAATAAGAGCACTACAAAGACCCTAATGACGCTGAGTACATATTAGTCAAATGAAATCAGCTATTTGGTTGCAGCTAAAAACTTAAGATACGTTTTGCTATGTATAATATTTTCAAACATTTTTTTTTAATCTGTGACAATTTTATTCCATTTTTGGTAGTATCGATTCTATTTTTTAGGGAGCATATTTTTTTTTAGCATTTGGTCTGTATATGAAAATGAATTACTGACCCTAAAAATACGACCGAAAGTAATATTCGAGTCTTGGGCTGCTAAACTTTATAACAACACGATTTTGTAGTTTTTCACAATCTGGACACCTCTGTCATTTGAGTACTTTGACGTTTTATATAATTTTTCATTGAATGTCAATTTAAACCAAAATTTGGAATCAAAGCAAACAACAAAAGTGCAAGAGGAAGCTAGCAATATTTCTCTGCATTTGTTACCTACAAAGTCCAGACGATGGTACGAAAACTATTATGAATTGTTTAATAAAAGAAATAAAAAAAGCCAAAAACTTAACAGAAAATGTACTACCTACTTGCTTATCTATTACAAGGATCAAAGATTGTAAATGCAGGTACACTACGGTCTGAATTTTGAATGTAGAAAAACGCTTTTAAAGTCAAGGAAAATCTTAATTTTGATGATTTCCATAAAGTTCGAGCATTTTTTAAACAAAATTCTGTAAATTACCTGCCCAAAAAGTCTAAAAGTTTGCCTCAAGAACAATGTATTAAATTTTTTAACACATGATTCAGAATATCTTACGAGCAAGGTAAACTAAGTGGAATTAATTATGTTTTTTTTATTAGCACTGCATTATAGGCTTCTCTTATTGTGGGACTATTCGGAGTTTGACGTCGAAATGAGTTGTTGAATATGCAACTTGACCCCATAGATAATAGAGGAGACATATCAATTGTTACAGTTCCACAAAAAAAAAAATAATATTACAAGAACGTTTACACTCACAAACAAAACAGTTGATGCAATATACAACAAATATATTTCCGTTAGACCTACCCACACCCCTCATAATCGCCTGTTCATTTATTATAAAAATAATAAATGCACAGTGCAACCGATCGGAAAAAATGTATTTAGTAAAATTCTAAGCAAAACAGCCACTTTTTTAGACTGTCTTAGTTCCGCAACCCTACTAACTAACTCTGGGAGTGATTTACTAACACTTAAAAAACATGGGGGTTGGCGTTCTTCTGCAGTTGCAGAAGGATATATCGATGACTGCTTATCAAATAAGATTCGCATTTCTCAAAAAATCCTGGCAAACCCAAAACAACAGTCTAGTATTAGAGAAAATAACACAACTAAAGTATACTTAAAAAATTTCTCGAAGCAAAATTTATTACCGCACTGTATCGAATATTTATAAATTTTTAATTTTTAAAATTTAAGTGTCTCGTCATTTATTTATATTCTTTTGTTCATCAAATTCAATAAAAAAAATTATTAGTTCGTTGATATTTATTTTTTAGAGATACTTTGGAAGTTAAAATAATTATGTGACCTTTTGAAATTAAAATATCGATTTGAAATTTTCAGAATCGAGATTTTTTCAACCTAGAAAATGATAAAATAACGATAAGAAAAATTAAAAAAAAAATTAAATTTTTGACGATTTTGGAAATTTTTAAAAATCACTAGCGACCTCTAAAAATTTTTTTTGAGCTGATTTTTAGAAGGGTCTCTTAAAACATGATAAACTAACATATTTTCACAAGAGACACGAAAAAAAAATTCGTTTTTTTTTGGGCCACCCTAAAGTATCTATTAAATTACGTTAAATTTAGTCTTATTTTGTTATGTCGTAAGGAAGTTGTTTTTTATTTACTTTAAATTAACACCTGCCTTGTACTATTCCTCACAGTGACATGAGACACTACCCACGTACTATGCGACGCGTACATTAACCGCCAACTGAAACTATAAACAGCTTTGAGCCGGCCTCAATTCCCTCCTAAATCACGTTATTTTAACCGCCTCCTGTGGAGGGGGTTAAAATAACACAGGGAGTGGGCCGACGATTCTTTACACTTTACGTACACGTAATTAAGCGTAATTGTATGAACCAAGATTAAAAAACGAATTCAAATGACTAAATGTGTTCATGAATTACTGTTCCTTTAAGAAATAATAATTATTCACATTTGTTTTGTAATTTTTTTTCAATTTTAACTCTTTAAAATTGTATTGAAAAGTTATTTGGAAATTAATAAAGAATCTTTGACAGAACGGACATAACCTCAATTATTATAGTTCATTTGGTATGTGCGTGATAGAAAGTGATTTTCAAGTGGCTGATTTGTTGTGACAGTTTGACAAACATAGATAAGAAATAATATATGTTTTTGAGGTTTGAGATAACGCACGAAAATCCACCAACCACTGCACAAAATACTAATCTGACGGGTTGACAGGTGACAGCACAGAGGACGGTAGCAGAAGTTGCGGGAAACGCTAATCAAATACATATTTGGACCACAGTATAATTGATTAGTATACTGTGATTTGGACGATAAACGTCGATATGTCTGTCTCTTTTTCATTCATCATACACAATCGGAGCTAGCATCAACCGCACAACACAAGAAGGTGTTTGCTTGTCTTTTTCTATTAGCTACTCCACATTAATCGATTATTAAAAAATTATTAAAGAATCGCCGGCCCAACTATAGGTGATTTCTCTCTTTTTTTTTAAATTACCGTAAAAATAAGTTGTATTTAATGCAAAAAGAGCAAATCCCCGAGCGGCTTTTACCCGACTATAAAACAATTTCTTTATAACGCCGTTTTGCACGACCTACTTTGTTAGTTGCAACTTTTTCAACTTTTTGAAATTTTTCTTTTTCGATGCGTTTGTATGGATCAATTAGAACCGACATCTACTATATTAACATCTAAAATTAACCTTTAGTAATAATTAAACAATTAGTTGCAAAAAAACGAACGAAATTAATTACCAAATACCTGGAGCAACAATTTCACAGTCAAGTATGTTAAAACCAAAATTTATCGAGAAAATCCTTAAAAAAAAGTTTCTCACCTTATGGCGTCCACCTGTAGCTCGTGCCTGTCGATGACGTGCACCGTTTCGAAGATATTGTTGATATTCCACACCTTAGCCGTCCTGTCTATGGAGGACGTCACCATGCTGTTCCAGTTCCCTATAGTCAGCGGCTCCAACTGTATTATCCTCCCGAAATGCGCGTCGAGGACCTTCACCAATTTCCTGGTCTGCATGCTCCAAACGTACAGGTTCTTCCTGAAACGCACCAGTTTTATCCACGTTTTAAATACCCCCTCGCGGATGCCCTACCTCACCCCCGCTATGGCGTAGTTCTTGTACCCGCTCAACATTATAGAATTCGACTGGAGCATCTTGGTGGTGATGTTCCTCGTGCCGTAGGGCAGGGTGAGCACCATCGCCTCGTCGCTGATCTTGTTCTCCTCGTTGAAGTCCCACACGACGAAGCCGTTGCTCGTCGTACCTGGAAATTCCAACGCTAACGCGTGTCGTTCCGGTTTATTTTATTTTCTTACCGAAAAGCACCTTGTCGTGCTTGTCCGTTTTCAGCTGCAGCATTATCTCCGTCTCGTCGTTCTCCGACCTCCGTAGATCCTCGGTCTTGGTCCACTGCGTCGTGTCCCCGTCTCGGACGTATTTCGAGACCGCGTAACACTCCGGCGTCGTACAGGTGTACAAGGTGGTTTTGTCTCTGGCGAGCACCAGGGCGCTGAAAATAGACCGACTAGTTCGAACGCTGTTGAATAAGGTCACAGTCTTTTAACCTGTGGTAGTTTAGGTACTCGTAATCGCCCTCTTTGGCGTGCAGGTACAGCATCATCCTGTCGTCGTCCAAGTTACCCCGCCAGAATATTATCCTGTACTCAGACTTGTTGTCAAACTCCATATCTGTAAGATTAGAGAAGTAAACGTCCCCTAGGTTTCGTTGTTCGAGTTACCGAGTGTTAGCACTGTGCTTAGTTCATGAATCTCGATCTACTTTAGACAACATGGCGGTTAAAAATCTAACTCACGCAATATCGGCCAGTTGGAAACATCTATCGGGGCCCGGAAATCCTCCTCCCTATTGCCCCTCATGTCGAACTTAACCCATTCGTCGTCCCCGTAGACGAACAGGTTGTGATTCAGCAGGTATATTCCCGTGACGGGCCTGCCGCCGCTCAACGGGTTGTCGACTATCACGAATTCGCTCGAGAGCATGTTCAGGAGCACGGTCTGCGGACAAAACAATATAGCGAGGCGTCGATTACAGTCGTCGCGTCGTATACCTGGTTGTTGTTGGTGTAGGCGGCAGCCCACTTGTTGTCGGGGCTGAGCACCAGGTGCTGCATTATCCCCTCGATGTTCGGGTTCACGTCCCTCGTCAAGTCGCTGGTGGAAAGGTCCCACGTGATGAACCTGTTGGATATGGAGACCACGTACCTGTAATCGGAAGTGAGGCAGATCGAAAATACCGCGAACTGGTGCCCTTCTAAGGAATACTAAGGAGATAAGCAACGGTTAGCGTTTTAGTACCCACATATTCGTTTTTGTTACCTTCAACGGCCCTCCGGGGGTGTGGAGGCAGTGATAGAGCGGGAGCAGGGAACAGTGCATCGGCCCCTTGGTGTCGCAGTCGTTCAGCAACATCTTTATGTTCGGGTTGTTGCCGACTTCCGGCAGCAGCCGTCCTATCAGTTGCGGCGCCAGCATGTTGGGGTATTGCCCCAGAACGGCGCCTCCCAGTCGTAGCGCGTCGGCTACTAACATGAGTTCCCTAAAAACGATGGTTAGAGTGTCTCGGTGTTACTCGATTTGCTCTGTACCTTTTGGAGTCTTTATTGTCGATGTTAGTGCAGGCGTCTTCGTAGTCGGCTAAGACGGACTGTAGAGGACAGCTCGACAGCTTGGCGTGCAGCCATTCGTAATTGAAAAGGACGTTCTCGTACAAGTCCTTAAAGCGCCTGGATCGAACCAAGTGGAACGGCAACTCGCCGAACTTTCTCAGGTTGTACCGGGACACGTTTCCTTCTTTCGAATAAAATACGAGGGGTTGTACGGGTACCTTTCTGTCGGCCACGCCTTCTTTGTCTGTCAAATTGAACCTAAAAGCGTTTTTTATTTTCAATTTTAATAAACTCGAAATGAAAAAGTGTACATGTGCAGTTGGTTCGCAGCTTAGGCGTTTCCTTTCGTGTCATACGCGTGCAAGTAGGAAGAACGCATCTCTTAGTACCTGTGTCTCTGTATTTCCGTGTATTTGAACGGTTTGGGCTTGCCCCCGCCCCAGATCCCGAGGAAGTAATCCGCGATCATGGAATGAAAATACGTCGCCATGTTCATGTTCTTGAAGTACCGTTCCTTCGCCGTATCTCGAAATTGTCTTAAAGAAAAGCCAAGGGAAAATCGCGTGGTCGAAATAGAAACGGGGCTTACCTGTGGTACCAGTTCATGACGCTAACACCGTCCGCTTCCCTCTCCGACAAATAGTTGGGTAAGTCGTTCCTTATCCTCGTCCAGAGCAGTGGGGGTATCCTTCTGACGGGCGGCAAGTGGTACTGGTAGACGTCGTCGAGGACCTTGTCGTCCAGGGATATCAAATCCTCCAATTCCGACTCGGACAAGCCGCTTTTCGCGGCCGTTATATAAGCCAGGGCGTGGAAGACCAGTATCCGTCCGTGCTTTAAACGATTTCCAACTTTATTCCACTCTTTTTGACGCCGTCTTCGTCCCCCTTACCTGTTTCTCTATCCTCTCGAAGAGCATCATGATGGAGTCCATCACGGTGGAGGCGAGGTGCGTGTCTTGGGACTTGGTGTAGCTCCTCCAACGGCAGATCTCCGCAAACACCAGCTTGACGAAGATGGGCAAGCTGCACTTGTCTATGGCGTTCGAAACCAAACGCCATTGGTAGTTGGTGAGGTCTCGGTGCGCGGTACCCATCCACATCCTAAAAAAAGTCATTAGCGGATTTTTTTATATTTAAAATCGTCTCAACGTACTTTATCACCCTCATCGCCAGCTCCTCGCCGAGTGCTCTAACTTCTATGAAGTTTTCTTCGACGTCTATCATCCTCCTCAGGATGTGGTACTCCTTAGACACTTCTGGGTTGCTCTCTTCGCAGGCGCAGGATACTATGATCTGATAAAGACCGTAAAGTTATCACCGTACAAGATAGAACGTGAATGTGAAAAATGGGTGCTAATATCATTGATAAATAAAGAAAATAGTAAAGGGCTCAAGTCAGACCCTTGTGGTATAACTTATAAGTAGTTCAGACGATATTTTCTCACCTTGCAATAAGGAGGTAGCCTCGTGGGCAACCAGGACACCTTGTTGGCGTCTTGGGTTCCCGTCAGCTGATCCACGGAGTCGAGAAACAACACCAACGGCTGCTCCTTGGTGGCTAGGGTTAGGAGGTGCTTGAAATGGGCCGTCAGGGGCACCAGATCGTCCGGTATGCCCTCGAACGGCAGCATAAAGTTGTACGAGATCTAAAAATACAACGCCTAACGACAAATTTTTAAATTTAACCCGACAAACCTGCTGGCAGATCGAGATCAGAGTAGGCGTGAGCGCCGAAGAGTCCGGCGTGGTCCCGAGGAACCTTACGATGCTGATCGGTTTTGCGCCCGCGAACCAGTCCTTACCGGTGGACATTCCTGCCGATTTGGCCAGAAGGGAAGTCTTCCCGCAGCCCCCCTCGCCGTAGAGGATCAGGCACTTGTCCGAGTCTCCCGTCATGTAGTTGCGGATGTGTTCCAAGCTGTCCTCTCGGCCATAAAACACCTAAAACGGCTCGTACGATAAAAAAAGTTTCACTTATGGTAATTTCCATTCGTTCTACCTTCACCGAGTTGTTGCAAGCATGCAAATGTTGCAAGATCTCCGTCACAATCTGTCCCTGGGCGCTGGAATCTTCTTTTCTCATGGCGCGGTCCACCAGCTTCACTATGTTCTTGTAAAAGTGGGTGATGAAGTGCTTCAGGTACTCCTCGTGGGTTTCGTTGTCCAAGCCTTCCCTTCCGATCCACTCCACCGTGTACCTACAAGAAATAATTCGCCGATACGTGATTTTGCGATAAAAAAATATTCGGCGCCCACTTCTGTATGTTGCTGGTCTCTATCTTGGCTGGTAGCCTCTCGTCGCGCAAGTTCGCCAGCAGCTTGGTCGATTCCGTGTCCAAACTCCTGTTGATGATGTCCACGAACAAGGAAGCCTTCTTCAGGTTCTGCAGGTTGATGTTGTTGATGTACCTGATGTAAGCGAGACAGTGATTCTTCGTGTTCTTAACGTTCAGTATGCCGTTGATGACCTCTCGTTCGGTCACTGCACAAGAAACGACATGAATTGAAATTGGACGTACCTAATTGCGATTGTGACGGTTACCGGACATGAAGTAGTTGTGCATGGCGTCGTGGTCCATCTTCCCTTGTTGATTTAGAGACGCGGCGGCTTTCCTGAACAGTTTTTGGAACTTTCCCAGGGTGTCCCACCATTTCGCCTGGTCTTCCGCTTGGAGTTTAGGGATCCTCTGTTACAAAATAACTTTTGAGGTCACGACGATCTCTAAAAATCGTCAGTTTACTTGCCTTGTTGTTGAAGTTGATGAGGATGGAGGAAATAGGCTGTAGGACTGAAATCGGGGGTACAGCGTTGCTGTCCTTCCTGTACCAAGTGTCTATCAGGATGGGGTCGTGTCCGGAAGAAGCCAGTTCGTCGCGGATCATCTGTAGTTCGGAGGAGAGGATGTAGGTTGGAATGGGGCGATAGCCGTACTTCTGCCCTAAGAAAACCTGTCGGAAATTCGCGAAAATTGAAATTTTTCGAAAGGTTCTGAATATTTTTTTTGCTTACGACGAAATTGGGGCCCATTGAGAGCCTTTGACAGTTCTGAATTTCCTTCATGCACAATTCGGTGGTCATGTGATCGTCAGTGGCTTCGTCCCTTACACCCCACCTCATATCGACCACCTGTGATTAAAAAAAAACATATATAAGGTACCGTTGAGAAAAACTTGGTTTTAATGGAAGAAATAGGCCTATTTTTACCCCAATATGTAAGCTTTTGTGTTCTCGTAATTCATTTTATTAAATTAATGTTGTCATCGAGCAGACTGAAAGAAAAACATCAAAGAAAAAAGCCTAAACGTTTTTGGAAATTGCTTTTATTCTGTGAATAGAGAGAGGATAAACTTTCCCGGTATTAGGTAATATAGTAAATGGTTTTCGTTTGTACATGGCGTTTTGAAACAGGGTGGCAGAACATTAAAATTGAGACGAATATTTCCGATTGTCTTTTGTTTTTGAGATATAGGGCACGAAAGGTGATTTTTTTAATTTTTAATTGTGTACAGATAATCCTTAAAAGCTAAAAATGTTAGTGTTGCTAATTTTCGACTACCTCGTAGAGGTCGTTAGTTACCTTATTTCTCAATAACATTTTTAAGTATATTTTTTTGAGGTTAAGTTTTCTACGATGCTTGTGGTATATCATAACTTAATTTTATGCACAAAAAGGTACTCTTGTTCAAATTGCTAAGTATACAACTTGGAAACAAAATTTAACTCTCTGCATTTTAGGTTGCAGAAAATCTAACCTAAAAAAAGTTTCAATCTAAAACGTCGTTGGCATTCGGGGAAAGTCGTAGTAAACTAACGATCTCTACAAGATTGTTGAAAACTAACAAAATTGTACTTTGTATGAGATATGGCCAATATTTGATTTAAAAAAATCATTGTTCATAAAAAGAAACAGCCTTAATTGAATCCGCGTTTTTTTAATTTTAATATCAAGTAAATAGGGAGTAACTTTACGCGATGGTTAGTTTTTTTTTGAGTTATATGTTCTCCGGAACACTAACCTCAAATTATTATTTCTTATCAGTGTTATTATTTTTAAAAACAATTTCGGGATTTTAATAAAGAGTATTTTAGTGACGGTATAATGAGAAAGAGGTAATAGATGAAGAGACATCAACAAACGGGGAAAAAAATTAAAATATCTACAAGTAATGAAACTGATACCGCATAGAGTTGTTGGGTCGAGCCAGTCGAACGGTGTGACGTCACAAATACACTGCGAACAGTTTGCATAGTTTCTAATATTTTACGAATTAGAAATTATTTATTGCGGTAAAGATTAAAGCTATCGACCTGGTTTTTTCACGACATATGGAAATTTTACCGAATCATCCCGTTGTGGTATAGTAGCCTGTCCAGCGGCGAGGTATGAAAATTACGGAAAAAAGATTTAAAAAATCAATCACAACTACACGACGTATTGTTACATTTTTTTTGCTTGTGTTCGAACTGTAATCACCCTGTACAGGCCCCGGTATTGATTATACCCGTAAGTACCTACTCATTGGGTCACTCCCGTACCGCCTGGTACGGGGTCCCACCAGTGCCAAGGCCATTTCTTTCGACGCCTCCGGACCGACTTGTAGCGTGACTGGAACTATTCGAATCGAAATTCGTGACTGCCCTAGTTACGTCAGTCGCACGCGCGAATTCTACATTTTTCGAAAAACTCGCGAACCCATGAATATTCCGTCGGCCGGCGGGCGCGGCCTATTAATATCAGTCCTTACTTGAAACTCCAGGCCGTGCTTCTCCCTGCAGTAGTCCTTGATCTTTGGGTAGCACTTCGCCATCAGCGTGTTCCTCTCCATGGTGGTATCTGCAAAAGGTCAGATTTTCTAACGCGCGCTCCGAGCGGTATGTAAATAGCGTACCCGTGAAGGTGGAGCTGGTGAAGATCCTCACGATCTTCGAGCTCACCGGAGGCAGGTTCTCCAGGGAGCCGGCGAATATCAGGTCTATGGTGCGGTCGTCCATTTTTTTTTTCTCCGGACTTAAAGTTTAAATTCGTAACTTTACGACGCTTCTCAGGCCGTCGCTTGACGTCCGAGCGTCTTCGAGCGTCGCTGTGGACTGAAGCGCGTTGAACGCCTCGCCGTCGATATTCGTTTGTTTATCGGCGGACAGTTGCGAATCGCGGCAGGTGCGATTGGGTGTGATTTTTGTTACCTCGGGAGCCGCAGTGCCGCTTTTACTTGTTTATTTTCAAACGGTCCCGGCAACAAAGGGTTTAATCGTGCACAGTTTGTTGTCGCTTTTAGAAAAGTAATTAATTTCGCAAATTTTTTATTTTATTTTTTGGTTCTGTCATTGTACTTGTCCGGAACAGTAGGCGGTGACTCATTTTAACCGTGAGGGCCCCTGGGACGGGTAAGGCGTGCGGGGGGAGTGCGATTCCATGGGCGTAACATTTTGAAGGGTTCAAAAAATTGTAAATGCAGGGTGTCCCAATATTCAGTGCTCTCTGCGGATAAAATTAGCTAATTTAACTTAGCTTTAGCTTAGCTCTACCCTAAGTTGCTTCGTTTACTCACTAGAGGGCGTTAAAATTGACATAACATAAAAATACACTCTAAATTACAACCGAAAAGTTAAACATTTCATTGAAAATCTATTGCAGGACTGAAATTTTGAATTGACGGACGACATGCAGGCGCAGGCTTCCAACATAGGGGTGGTGGACCCACACACTACCCAGATGAACCAGTTCAGGAGCTACGTCACCATGTTAGGAGACCCTAACTGCAAAGACGTACTCAAACTCAAAGCCACCCAAGAGATAAGCAAGAATTTCGAGGTAACTTCGCAGAGGAAACGCTGTTTTCGTTATCCGTAATTTTCTGCAATTGTTTCAGATGATCCTAAACTCGGAACTGTACCCCAGCTTCCTGGACCACTCGGTGAAGATGTTCCTGAAGATCCTGGAGGACGGTGAACCCCATTTCATAGCGGAATACAATATTCAACAGGTGCGTCGTGATAATTCCCTCGTATATTGTTTTTCTATCGCTTTATTTTCCTCCAGGTGAGAAAACTGATACTGGAGATGCTGTACAGGCTTCCGACGAACGAAACCCTGAGGCCTTACGTTAGGCCCATCCTCCTGCTGATGCTAAAACTTCTGGAAATCGACAACGAAGAGAACGTCTTGGTGTGCCTGAAGATAATCATCGAGCTGCACAAACAGTACAGGCCGCAATTCAGCGCCGAGGTCGGTAAAATAAAAAGTAGTACATTATTTTTTTTTAACTAACAACAATTGTAGATCCAGCGTTTCTTACACTTCGTCAAATCCATCTATTCCAACTTGCCGAACCACATGAACAAGATATTCGAGCCGCGGCCCCCGATAAAAGTCAAGGATCTGAGCGAAGTTAACATCGAGGAGCTGCTGAAAGAGACGTTTACCATGACCATAATCCAAACCGAGAAGCGCAATAAAGATGGCACTCTTATATCGGTATGTATTTCTGTGCGGATAGATTAGATGTTTGTTTCAAGCGCCCTCCAGGGATCTGATCTTGGGCCCTTTTTGTTTTTGACATTTATAAATGACCAAAAATATAGTAAGCTGTTTTTTTGCTGGTGACTTAAAAGCTTTTTGCGAAATTGATATTAATTGATTCTTCATTTGTCATAAATTTCGTTCTGTAGATTTTTTCTGTTGCGCAAATAAATTTGACTCGACGTTGCAACTTTTACTTGTTTTTTGCAGTACTACCTGATCCCGAAGGCAGTGTTGTCGCTGAAGGTGCTCCAGGAACTGCCGATCATAGTAGTTCTAATGTACCAATTGTACAAGCAGAGCGTCCACCAGGATGTCAGCGATTTTATACCCCTGATAATGAATACCATCACCCTACAGCCTACGCTAGAGCAGAGGCAAGCGGAGACGTTCAACAAGGAGATTTTCGTCGACTTCATGGGCGCTCAGATAAAAACTTTGTCGTTCCTTGCGTATATCATCAAGATCTACCAGGAGGTGGTGCAGAACCACTCCGCCATGATGGTGCAGGGCATGCTGGGGCTGCTGACGCTCTGCCCCATGGAGGTGGCCCACCTGAGACGGGAGCTCCTGATAGCTGCGCGGCATATACTCGCTACCGATCTGAGAAATAGTAAGTTTTCGGACTACCAGAAGGGTGGGTTCTAAGCGTGTTGTGTTTCAGAGTTTGTGCCGCACATGGGAAGGCTGTTCGACGAGGACGTCTTGCTGGGTCGCGGCTGGACCACCCACGAGTCGCTGCGGCCCTTGGCTTACTCTACGTTGGCCGACCTGGTGCACCACGTCCGCCAACAGTTGCCCCTGGCGGATCTCACGAGGGCCGTTCATTTGTTCAGCAAAAACGTGCACGACGACACCTTGGCCACCACGTGAGTATTGTAGGTTCGCAAACGACTTGGAAACGATGTGATTTTGTCTCGCAGGATTCAGACGATGTCGTGCAAGCTGCTTCTGAACCTTGTGGACTGCATCAGGATACGGTCCGAGGCCGAGAAGAGCAACGAGGGCAGGGAGTTACTGATGCGGATGTTGGAGGTGTTTGTATTGAAGTTTAAGACTATAGCCAAAATACAACTGCCGATATTAGTGGCTAAATGGTACGGTTTCTGATAAACGAGCAAATAGTTCTTTACTCGTAAATTTTTTTTGTTGTAGTGAACAACGCAAGCAGGACACACAGAATTTGTTGCAGTCCAACCAGCAGAACTCACAGGAGAAGGCGGAAGATGTGAAACCGAATCCCGCGGAGCTTCTAGAGAACGCCTTGGCGACGGCGCAAGGGTCCCAACAGAAAGAGGAAAAGTCTAAGTTCGGTTTTCCCCAAAACAACAACTACAACGTCGCAGATTACAGGAGTCTGGTTAAAACGTTAGTGTGCGGCGTCAAAACCATCACCTGGGGGTGTTCTGCCTGCAAGGTATTTATTTATGGAGTTTATCGACACATGGGCTCATTAATCTCTGACCCTGAACTCCTTGACCGCAGCCCTGAAGGTCACTGACCTCTGACTCTCGAGATCATTGACCTCTGCCTTCCAAACTTACTACATTTTCAGGTCTAGTCTGTCCCGAGATACTGACCTCTGACTCCCGAGTTCACTGACCTCCAACCCTCGAACTCACTGACCTCTGCCTTACAAACTTGCTACACATTCGGGTCCAGCGACTTCTGATTCCCGAGGTCACTGACCTCTGACTCCCGAGTTCACTGACCTCTGATTCCCGAGTTCACTGACCTCTGCCTTTTCCAAACTTACCACACTTTTGTCTACAGTGACCTCTGATTCCCGAGATACTGACCTATGACTCCCGAGTTCACTGACCTCAGACTCCCCAGTTTACTGACCGACTCCCGAGTTCACTGACCTCTGATCCTTAAGATCACTAACCTCCGATCATCGAGTACATAACGTAATTAAATTAGAATAGAGAAATCAACTTCCATTAACCGTTATAATTTTTTTAAGATTATCTCTCCTTCTGGTCAGTTAGTTCAGTCGAAGAACTTCCAGCCTCACGAGACCCTGGTGTTTGTCAGATTGGTGAAATGGGCCTTGAAAGCGTTGGACGTTTACACCCTCAACGTGGGACCCCAGCCGGGAGGGGTGCCTCAGCGCATAAACCAGCAGAACGTCAGGACCAAAGAAGAGAAGGAGGTGTTGGAGCACTTCAGTGGGGTGGTAAGTAGCGTTACCGCAGTCGCGTAGTGATTTTCGTTAACGATGCGTAATCTTCAGTTCTCCATGATGAATTCCCAAACCTTCCACGAGATATTCTCCACGACGATCGAGTACCTGGTGGAGAGGGTCTACAAGAACCCCACGTTGCAAACGGTGCCCAATACCCTCCTGGCGCATCCCACCACCAGCCCGATCTTCGCCACCGTGCTGGTGGAATACCTCCTGGAACGGATGGAGGAGATGGGCTCGAATCTGGAGCGGAGCAACTTGTATTTGAGGCTGTTCAAGCTGGTTTTCGGCAGCGTCTCGCTGTTTCCCCAGGAGAACGAGAACATGCTGCGTCCGCACTTGCACCAAATCGTCAACAGGTCTATGGAGCTGGCGTTGAGCGCCATGGAGCCGTACAACTATTTTTTGCTGCTCAGGGCCCTGTTCAGATCCATAGGGGGAGGCAGCCACGATCTGTTGTACCAGGAGTTCCTGCCCCTGCTCCCGAATCTCCTGGAAGGTACACGAAACAATTCCTTTGCCTCGAAAAGTGCTAACACGCCTTTATTTTAGGTTTAAATCGACTCCAAAGCGGCCTGCACAAGCAGCACATGAAAGATCTCTTCGTCGAATTGTGCCTGACGGTCCCGGTGAGGTTAAGCTCGCTTTTACCCTACCTGCCCATGTTAATGGACCCCCTTGTGTCGGCTCTGAACGGATCGCACGTCCTGATCAGTCAAGTATGTTTAGAAGATATTGAAAAGGGGGACAAAAATAACTGAGACGATTGTTTTCAGGGTCTCAGAACGTTAGAACTGTGCGTGGACAATCTACAACACGATTTCCTCTACGAACACATCCAACCCGTGCGGGCGGAACTGATGCAAGCGCTGTGGCGCACCCTGAGGAACAAGGACCCCGTGGCACAGGTGGCCTTCAAGTAAGTGAAAGAACAGCAAAAGCCGGCATCGTTAATATACAGGGTGATTAATTAAGAATGAAGATACTACACGTGAAATGGTGACCATTGGCGCAAACATGTCTTATCCAAAAGTTGAGAGTTTCGGAAATACAGGGTGTTGAAATTATAAATTGTTTTTTTGCGATTATTCTGAAAATATGTAGGTTAGCAACTTGAAAATTTGTGAAATTATATTTTTTTAAGCGACGAATAAGATGCGTGTTGTAATTTCAGCATTGCTGATAGAGGGCGCCATTTACGACCAATTTTACCGAAAGTTAAGTTAATAATTTTTTACCCTGTATGTCTAATATGAAACTTGATTCAAAACCTGAAAGAGCAATCATTTTTCCATTAATTATGTATTATTGTTTCATTTCGGTATCTGGATCCGTTTTCGAGAAAAATCGATTTAACGAACACTACCTCTTGATAATACGAGAAATTAAAAGTGAAACAAACCTAGTAATTCTTCATGTTATTACAACAATTAGCAATAAATCAAATAAAATACGTAATTATGATTTAAAGTAATTGTTCGAAGAATCCACCGTTGACCCTGAGAGATTCTGAGAGATTTTCATGTTTGAAACAACATATTGTAGACCGATCAAAATAACTCATTTAGAGGGGAAAAAAAAGAAAATTGTTACTTGTACTTTTATAAGTGGAAATGGTAAAGGGGCTTATGATGAACGAAAAAAAAAATAAATGCGTGAGTAGGGGCAGCGGAAGGTTGATTTGGGGTGTTGAAAAGTTATGAAAAATTGTATCATTGGGATTTCTGGCGAAAGTTGACATCAAAGAAAAAAGTATCCAATACAAAAGTTGTAGATCTAGCAAAAATCTACAACTTTTGTAGAGGTCACTTTTTAACATAACCTCAATATTTCCGAGAAAAATGCGAAAAACAGTTTTTTTCTGATTTTTCGTTTTTTATTTCTCATTTCCGCAAAAATAATTTAATTTTAATGAAACTATGTGAAAGTATACCTTTCTCTATCTTAAATAACCTCAAATTTTTTTAGATAAAAAAATCAAGAAGTTTCTGAGATATTCATTTTTTTCGGCCTTAAACACTTTTTTTTTCAAAGAAAAATTCTACTTAAAAAAATCATCATACAGAATTCTGCCGGTAGTCATTTTTTTCGTTTTGACATATACTTTTTGGTGAAATAAAAAAATTTGTAATCACAGCTCAAAAACATGCTCAAAAATGCAAAAAAGTAAAAAATGACTTGCAACAATGAATTTTTCAGTTATTGTTGATAATTTGTTTAAATTAAAAAACATTCAAAAACTGATTACACCATTCAATTCTATGGAACAATCCGTGGAAGCATTTTTGCTTGGTCACCCAGAAGTCCAGACTTCAATCCTCTTGATTTTTCTATTTGGTCTCGAATGAAAGATATAGTTTACAAAGAATCTACTGGTTCGCATGAAGAGTTGTGGCAAAGAATACAAATCGCTGTCAACGAAGTCAGACGCAATCACAATATGTTGTTTCAAACTCGAAAATCTCTGAAAACATTGTGTAAAGTGCGTAAGTGTCGACGGTGTATTCTTCGAACAATTTCTTTACATCATTAATACGAATTTGATTTGTTTTATTCTTAATTGCTGTAATAACATGAAGAATTACTTGGTTTGTTTCGCTTTTCATTTCTCGTATTATCAAAACATAGTGTTCGTTAAATCGATTNGCTCCCGAATCTCCTGGAAGGTACACGAAACAATTCCTTTGCCTCGAAAAGTGTTAACACGCCTTTATTTTAGGTTTAAATCGACTCCAAAGCGGTCTGCACAAGCAGCACATGAAAGATCTCTTCGTCGAATTGTGCCTGACGGTCCCGGTGAGGTTAAGCTCGCTTTTACCCTACCTGCCCATGTTAATGGACCCCCTTGTGTCGGCTCTGAACGGATCGCACGTCCTGATCAGTCAAGTACGTTTAGAAGATATTGAAAAGGGGGACAAAAATAACTGAGACGATTGTTTTCAGGGTCTCAGAACGTTAGAACTGTGCGTGGACAATCTACAACACGATTTCCTCTACGAACACATCCAACCCGTGCGGGCGGAACTGATGCAAGCGCTGTGGCGCACCCTGAGGAACAAGGACCCCGTGGCACAGGTGGCCTTCAAGTAAGTGAAAGAACAGTAAAAGCCGGCATCGTTAATATACAGGGTGATTAATTAAGAATGAAGATACTACACGTGAAATGGTGACCATTGGCGCAAACATGTCTTATCCAAAAGTTGAGAGTTTCGGAAATACAGGGTGTTGAAATTATAAATTGTTTTTTTGCGATTATTCTGAAAATATGTAGGTTAGCAACTTGAAAATTTGTGAAATTATATTTTTTTAAGCGACGAATAAGATGCGTGTTGTAATTTCAGCATTGCTGATAGAGGGCGCCATTTACGACCAATTTTACCGAAAGTTAAGTTAATAATTTTTTACCCTGTATGTCTAATATGAAACTTGATTCAAAACCTGAAAGAGCAATCATTTTTCCATTAATTATGTATTATTGTTTCATTTCGGTATCTGGATCCGTTTTCGAGAAAAATCGATTTAACGAACACTATCTTTTGATAATACGAGAAATTAAAAGCGAAACAAACCTAGTAATTCTTCATGTTATTACAACAATTAGCAATAAATCAAATAAAATACGTAATTATGATTTAAAGTAATTGTTCGAAGAATCCACCGTTGACCCTGAGAGATTCTGAGAGATTTTCATGTTGAAACAACATATTGTAGACCGATCAAAATAACTCATTTAGAGGGAAAAAAAAAGAAAATTGTTACCTGGACTTTTATAAGTGGAAATGGTAAAGGGGCTTATGATGAACGAAAAAAAAATAAATGCGTGAGCAGGTGCGGCGGAGGGTTGATTTGGGGTGTTGAAAAGTTATGAAAAATTGTATCAGTGGGATTTCTGGCGAAAGTTGACGTCAAAGAAAAAAGTATCCAATACAAAAGTTGTAGATCTAGCAAAAATCTATAACTTTTGTAGAGGTCACTTTTTAACATAACCTCAAAATTTCTGAAAAAAATGCGAATAACAGTTTTTTTCTGATTTTTCGTTTTTTATTTCTCATTTCCGCAAAAATAATTTAATTTTGATGAAACTATGTGAAAGTATACCTTTCTCTATCTTAAACACTTTTTTTTTCAAAGAAAAATTCTACTTAAAAAAATCATCGTACAGAATTCTGCCAGTAATCATTTTTTTCGTTTTGACATATACTTTTTGGTGAAATAAAAAAATTTGTAATCACAGCTCAAAGACATGCTCAAAAATGCAAAAAAGTAAAAAATTACTTGCAACAATGATTTTTTCAGTTATGGTTGATAATTTGTCCAGACTTCAATCCTCTTGATTTTTCTATTTGGTCTCGAATGAAAGATATAGTTTACAAAGAATCTACTGGTTCGCGTGAAGTGTTGTGGCAAAGAATACAAATCGCTGTCAACGAAGTCAGACGCAATCCCAATATGTTGTTTCAAACTCGAAAATCTCTGAAAACATTGTGTAAAGTGCGTAAGTGTCGACGGTGTATTCTTCGAACAATTTCTTTACATCATTATTACGAATTACATTTGTTTTATTGTTAATTGCTGTAATAACATGAAGAATTACTTGGTTTGTTTCGCTTTTAATTTCTCGTATTATCAAAACATAGTGTTTGTGAAATCGATTTTTCTCGAAAACGGATCGAGATACCGAAATGAAACAAGATACACAATTAATGGTAAAACGATTGATCTTTCAAGTTTTGAATCAAGTTTCATATTAGACATACAGGGTAAAAAGTTATTAACTAAATTTTCGGTAAAATTGGTCATAAGTGGCGCCCTCTATAAGCATTGCTGAAATTGCAACAGGCATCTTATTCGTCGCTTAAAAAAATATAATTTCACAAATTTTCAAGTTCCTAACCTACATATTTTCAGAATAATCGCAAAAAACCGATTTAAAATTTTAACTTTCAACACCCTGTATTTCCGAAACTATCAACTTTCGGATAAGGCATGTTTGCGCCAATGGTCACCATTTCACGTGTAGTATCTTCAGCTTTCGATTTTC